TGGGGAAGGAGGGACAATCTCCTCCTGTACCAGTCAGATCTGATTTGACGGTACACTCACACAAAAATAATAAAATAAAAATTTAAAAAAAAAAAAGATTAATTAAAATTTTTAAAAAAGAGAGAAAAAAAAAAGAATGAGAAGCAGTGTGGAAGCAAAATTCCTAGAGAAAGCCCTCCCACCTCCACTTCCCTAAATTCTGTTGACCATCATCACTCTCTCTCTTCACATTCATTTGTGCTTCCTGTAATTTACACGTTTACTAATCCGTGAGTCCATCAAGTCGTCCTTACAGTTCTGTGCCCTTTTCCTAAGAGTGTCACGGTCCTAGAGTCTTCTCTCCACCAGTTCCCTTCTGCTGTCAGACACTGAGGCTCTCCTCTCTCTCACCCTTACTGCTCATGCCCGCATGCAAACCAGCCCAGATGAGCCAGGGAACCCTTGCTCTCTTCATGCATTCCCTTGCTCTAAAACTAATAGTCCTCCACTGCCTACAGGATAAAGTCCAAATTCCTCAATGCATATTAATGGCTTTACCAAAAAACAATGCATCCACTCAGTTGAAAACTTGTTGTGTGAATGACTTGATCAGGAACACAAAGCCCTTATTATTCTTTGTTTCATGGTAAAGTACTTCCACAGCCTCACCTTCTGGATTGGGGCCAACGCTGCACCATTGCTGAAGCTGTGCTCTGAGGCTTCTGGCTCCGAGAGGCTGTTTCGAGGACCAGTACTACTGGCCAATACCGTGGGTAGTGTGCCTGAGGGCTCGTACTGCTGGCTGCTCGGCCATTTGCCCTTCAACACCACGTGGCAGATGTTATCTAGGCGGTTAATTATCACACGATCCTAGAAAAGAATAAGCACCAAGTTACTCAAATTCCCAAAGTTCCTGGACTTCAAGGGTTAAGATTTTTACTCAGAGGAGTTAAGCAGAAAGGAAATCCTCAAATGTACCCACTTTCATAAGTTTTAAACAATAATAATTCGATGGGTGGTATGGACAAAAAAAAAAGAAAATAAAAAAGAGAGTGCTGTCAGGATGAGGACCTTTGGTCCTGCTGTCTCACAGTCAAGTGCATGCAGACTCCATGTCCAAACAGTACATAACAATACTTCCTTAAAGGTATCAAACATTTCTCCAAACTTGTGACTCAAATACTCCAGTAAAATTTAAAAGAAAGGATTCAAAGTGGCAAGTGTTGTGGCTAGGGGAACACAGGTCCGGAGGTACCTTGGGCCACTCCGAGAAGGAGTACAGGGTTTTCTCCTGGAGCAGCTGAGCGATGGTGGGGGCCCGGGTCTCCTGGAGGTCATCCCCCGTGTCTCCCAAGATGCCCAACGTCGGGCTTTTACTCTCCTCTTCAGAGTATTTCCCGGGATAATCTGGAGAGACGTGTTAAAGATATTTAGAAAAACCGTAGCTGTTCTTGAAAAGACTCAGCTATAGGAACCCGATTAATAAACTTCATTACTGGGACAGCACAGGAGAGGAAGGCCCTGGATGAGATGGATTAACTCAATGACTGGGGGGTAGCGGGGGTAGGTGTGTCAGAGACAGTAAGGTTGGCTCAGGACAGAGCTGTTGTACACAGGGTTGCTATGAGTCGCAAGTGACTCGACAGCACATAACAACAAAAACAAGAACTGTCTTCTTAAAAATGGGGGTGGGAGGATTAGGCACTTGGATACAATAGTGACTCAAGAGATCAGGGCATACAATGTGTCTTAAGGTTCTGTGGATTTTTTTTTTTTTTAAAAACACCAAACGCATTTATTTTAGGCTACTTCTGATTTCTTCAAGAGTCATATTAATTAAGTCATAAAGGCAAATCCTGATATGGAGCTATGAACAGAAATGATCTCATATAGTTTTTGTAATAAAATACATGACCCTCAAGGAAAGGGAAATTCTCTTTTGTACCCAAGAGCAAGAGTTAATGAACGATTACAGAAGCTTTCCACATTACCTGTGGTAGCCAAGAGGCACAAGAACACTGTAATAGTTTGATAAACAAGGTTTAAGAAGAGGTAACATGTTTAGAAGCGGTGAAAGGATGAAGTGATGAAACTTACAGGAATAAAGGTAAAACAGACCTAATTCATGTAATACACCCACAGAAGAGAAACCGAGATCATTTAAATTATCCCCTGATGGATAAAAAGAGAAATGTAAATCATTTAGTAGTGGTGAGAGTTTATCATCAATGTAATGACAGGGAATGAGTAAGTGGTGGGTGGAAAATAAAATGTAGACCTCTCTTTTTATAAACCGACAAGGAATGCCTGCTCTCTGAAATGTGTAGATTATGCAACGAGTCTCCCAGGGAGCTGCAGAGACTCCCTTGCCAGGAATGGGGCCTTGCTGGGGACCGCAGAGTCAAGGATAAACTTGCTCTAGGGTTATTAGTCTCATGGGAGAAGACAGCTAGTAAAGCAGTATTTGTAACTAACTGGAATCATAACTGTGGTGACTACACCCTGCTGTCACTCCTGTGGGCTCCGAGGATGTAAATCTTTATGGATGCAGATTATGCATCCTTCTTTCATAGATCAGCCGTTGGATTCAGATTGCAAAATTTCTGGTTAGTAGCCCGACATGGTATGAACTGTATCATCAGGGTCCCTTATCAACCATGGTGAGTACCACAAAAGGGAAAAACTACGGTGCCATGTCAGGGGATAAGTGTAGGACCTTTTCAAGAAGCAAAGAAGGTCTCTTAAAGAAGGACCACCTGGCGAGCTCTGGTGGCCTAGTGGTAAGAAGCTGCACTGCAATTGCAGAGGTGAGCAGTTCGAATCCACCAGATGCTTTGCTGGAGATGGAGGGACAAATTTCCTCCAGTATCAGTCAAATCTGATTTGATGGTACACACACAAAAATAATAATTTTTTTTTTAAAAAGAAGGCACACCCAGGAAGGTGAGCAGACAGAGGGGGGAAAGTACTGTGGACATGATGGGGAACAGAGACCGCCAGGGGCAAGTCCAAAGAGGAGGCTGCTGGGATACAAGTGGTTCTAATCCTGCTGGGTCATGACCGATATGCACATTTCATTCTTAACAGATATGGGGGGGCGGGGGTGTAACCCCTGAAAGGTTTTCAGTGTACCAGCGAGATTCAAACTTTAAGAGAAAGTAAACTGATGAAAGAGAGAAATCCCTGGATGAGGGGGAACCAGGAGACCTGGAGGTCCTGACAGCTGTACCTATTATAGGACTGTAGGGTTTCAGATTTCCAGTCTTCGAAACCCTCTCTGCCCATCTCTGCCTCACATATGTGTACGTATATAGGTTCCCTTCTTGGCTCTACAGAAATCATCACTGCAAGGGACACCTTCTCTCTCATGCAGAGAGCTCACGAAAGGTTATCAAACCCATTGCTACCTTCCATCCTGAACTAACAAGTCTAAGGCTGCCACCAATGGTCACTGGTTCCAAAATATTTCCTCTCTGCTGAACTGTTCTCATTTTTGCTCCATATTCCTTTTTCATCTTGATTTCCAGAGACTGATTATTTAATGATTTTCCTGGCAACAGAATCCAAAAAGCAATGTGGGTTCTGTAATTCAGGACATATGATGACAATCCTGCCAGCCTGGGGTGCAGAGAATGGAACCAGTTCCTCCTGAGGAGGCCTGAAGAACTGCTTAAAAGTAATATATGATTAGGTAATATTTGCATGACAACAGTTCAGAATAAGAGCTACATAGTAAAGCGGACTATGGGTAGCGGTGGGAAACTGTACAACAAAGAATTTTTTTTTTTCAAAGAGAAAAGCAAACTGGGGAGGGGCAGGGAGAAAAATGTGCAACAATGAATGAACGAAAATCGAAGTTCTCTATAAATTTTCATTAAAATATCAATTAAAAAAAAGTACGCAGGGGAGGAGAACAAGGGAAGGTATGGAAAACGGGAAGCGTGGAATTCACCAGGATAACAGAGGTTAGTGGGTGGATCTGGGAGCGGGTAAGGAAGTCAGAAAGATTCAACTGGGGCCTGAGAAGATGGTGTAATAATAGGCATAGATCAATGGTAATTAATTATACAGGACACAGTGTATGATTGTATGCAACACAACATAAATGAATTATTGTATGAAAACCAGTTAAAAAATATAAAATCTATTCATATGTTTGTTGAGTTACTTGTATATTTTATTTTTCTGTTGAAAGGAATCTGAACTAAAGGCACTTACACAAAAACATACACTTTCCTGACAACTACATGGAAAAAACTGTACTATCTTGGCAAATTTGCTTTTGTTTCTGTTGAGTTCCTGAAAAATTAACGCCTTCTGTGAACGGTGACCTCGAGGTAAGGAGTTGGCCTGCCCACCCAGAGCCTTGAGATTTGAAATCTACCAGCTCATCCGTGGCAGAAGGATCGGCAATCTCTTCTTGTGTGATTTGTTTGCCTCTGAAAACTCACCTTGAGACAGTTCCGACTCGATAGTACCAATAACGACATATTAAATTTGAGGTTCTTGAAATTCCAAGGTTGTCCTACTTGAACCACGTTGAGGTACGTTACCCAAGACAAGAACAAAGCAGCTCCCCAGCCCCATACCTAGAGCACACACCCTTACACAAACCACGTGGCTGTGCTGACTGCATGTCCATCTTCTGAAATGACCACAGTTCATCTACTCTAAATTTCAGACCAAGTCTGACCCTTTGCTTGTAAACACAGCAAAAGCCATGAATCCCTCACTCCCCACCTCTTCCCTAGTCACTCTCACTCAGATATCACCTCATCTCAGAGCCCACTAGTTCCCGGATACTGTACCTTGACCATGGCAGTGTCCATTTCTGTCATAATCATCCTTGCTCTCAAAGTCCATGTCTTCTGACTTAACCTCACTTGCTTCGAGAGGATACGTCGGGAAATCTTTCTTCCCTTCTGCACCTTCCTTCCAGGGTTCTTTTAAAAGCTCCTGTCTCACTTTAAAGGGCTCCAGAGGAACAGCAGTCAGCTCGTTCTCCCTGGCCACACTATTAGCCTTGCTTTTGTACAGGTCTGGGCTATAGCCCTGGGGCTTCTCCATGTCAAAGTCCACGCTGTCCAGGCCACCCTTCCACCTCTCCATGTGTTTGCAGTGGCACTGACAGGCCCCTGGGGGGAAGGCCCTCTGGGGCCCGGGACTCAGGCTTCCCACCTCCAGGCTTCCCTTCTCGGCTTCAACCATGGGGAAGCCTCGATTCTTCTCTGTTGGGATAGGCGTACTGGGCTCCAGCAGGTGCAAAACCTCTGGCTTCTCCCTTATATCTGATGCCATGCCCAAGTTTTCCTCCTCATTTTCTTCCTCCTCCTCCTCCTCATCGCTGTGGTTCTGACTCAAAATCAACTTACTTTCTAAACTTTTGTTTTCTAGTAAATCGATCAACTGCTGATCTGCTGACAGGCTTGTTCTGGAGTTACAGACACTAAGATTACACATATCGAGAAACCCGCTCTCGTTTCCTTGGTCCAAGGAAGGTGACGGGATGTGTTTGGTTTCCAGATGCCGAAGGCTGTCAGGTCTTGGCCCGGCCTCACTGCAGCACAGTTCACCCTCCTTTGAAATGGACATCAGTAAATGGTTTCCATTTTTATTGTTCATCTGAGCAACTCCTGATTCTATAAGACCCATAAATGACGGGCCTGAGGTGACCTCTGCCTCGTGGCCACCGGACTGCGTGTCCCCATCGTGGCCTGCTGAGCCGACGGCCGTATCTCTCCTGGAGTCAGCACTGGCGCTGCTCGGGCTGTCCTGGAAGCTCAGTGGCTCCTGGCTCAGCACCTTCTTACCGTACAGCACACTTTCCAAGGACTCGGGCAGCAGACTCTCATCATGGTTGATGGAAAGGACATCCTGAACCTTAGAAATAAGGCTTTCACAAGTGATGTCAGGTAAGCTGCCCCTGGGCTGGCCAAGGTGATCTTCCCTGCTTTCCATTTTCACCAGGTTCTCAGGTTCGCTCTCAAGGGTCTCCGAAGTCCGGCTCACGTGAGTATACGTAAGAGATTCATACAGTTTGGAGTTCGTCTGGTAAAGGCAACAGAGACCTTCTGGTGCCGGAGTGTCGATTCTTTTATGCTGGGCATAGTTTCTGTAGGCATCCAGGAAGGACAGCTGGGGGTCGTTCATGATGTAGTAGTCCGTGCGGTTCAGGCCGTGCTTGGCCGTGCCGATGAGCAGGTCACGGTCATGTTTCCCACACTCCCACCAGACCGGGAGGTAGAGGCTGGGCCTGCACAGCTGGAGACGCTCGTGGAGCTGGGGACACCTGAGCACCTGCTCGCGGACCTTCCGCAGAAGTTCAATGCGGTACAGAGTTCTTGCGGCTCTTTCCTCAGTGATGGGCTCCACGTAGATGGTGGGATCTGGGGGCCCTGGAGAGAAAAAGGCAAACAGAAGCAGAGCCGGTCATTTCAGGGGGACTCCAGACACTTTCTGGCCCCCCAAACCCTGCATCTCGGATCTTAAGAGGCTACCGTGCTTGCACCTCATCACGAAGGTCTTGAGAGTCTGTGTAACGACCGGACGCTAACAGTGAACAGCACGTTCTCATGAGCCAAAGGTGGACATGGTGAGGATGAAAGAAAACCCCAGGAGCTTCAGTTCTAGAGAGAACCGCTGCCGAGTAATAGACAGAGACTCTGTAGGACCTACACAGTACGTCAACCATTCAATTTTCACAAACAGCACAGATTGTAGGGATGCTTCAAGGATGAGGAAACAGGTTCCGTGGAGCTAACTGACTTACTGTGGGGGAGGGAGGATTGAATCCCCAGCTTGTCCCAGCATGACTACAAAGACTGAGTCTTTTGAATGCACCCAATTACTTGCCTTGACTAAAATGTCCTAACCAGGCCTCGAGGGAACAGAGGCCACCTGTGCACGCTGTCCTCAGCTTTGAACCCACGCTGGGCAGGCTCACTTTGGTTTTCGCTTTCTTAAATATGGTCACATGCTCCAGAAGCTTGTAACCACAGATACGAGGCTGAAGCAAGGAACTTAGAGGAAGCAGCTGCAAACGCCAGCTAGGATTTTTTTTTTCCTTTCTCAGAAGGGGTCTCTATCAGATAAAACAATAGTTATCCACTTTGTAGGTCAACACATGAGAAAATATTTAAAGTAATTAAGATTTCATCTAAGGAAGGAACAGAGTTCACAGCATGAAAAAATTCTACATGATGTGGTTCATTTTTAAATCTAAAACTGTACTTTGGAAAATTCACGGTAGTTAATAAAATTAAGAGTGGTCTGTCACTATTTTTGAAGGGTTTTAAATCTGTAGTTCTTGTTGGAAACAAATACATCATATTTAAAAAGAGATGTGACCTGATGAGAGGTGGAAATCAATGAGAAGTTCATGAAATTTCTAAAATCCTACTTGTCTTTCTCTGAATTTCTCAAGCAAGACCTAATTTTGTGGCATCTAAAGTTCTTCTGTAACTTGACAACAGGCACGCTCTTTCCGAGTCTCATCGGAGACACACCGGCTGAGTATTCCTCACCTTCATCTTTCCATGCAGGCAGACGACAGACATTTCGGCACATGGCCACGAAACTGTAAAAGTAGTGCTCCAAGCTCTCATCGGATTTCTTGTCCAAACGCGAAATGATTCGGAACTGCGTCCAGTCAAAGGTTTGCTTTTCTTGGTCATAAAGAACACCAAAGGAAGATACTGTTCTGTAGAAGTCGGCCTGTTCCCTCCTAGTCCACCTGAGATTTAACCAGAGAGCAAAGACGTTAGCAGGGTTTGGTTTCTGTTTTGTTTTAAAAATGTCAACTAATTAGCATGCTTACTGTGAGAGCCCTTGAAGTTAACAAAGCAGGTAGAACGCATCTACCTGCTTTATTATTTTTATCTAAGTTAAATTGTGCTGAGAAGCTAATAAAGAAAACTACTCATTATCCTAGCTCCGAAGATGTAGTCACCATCAGGTTTTTGAGCTTGCTCTTCATGTATTTATTTATCTATTTTAAAATCACTAGTGCATACTTGTTATTTCCTGATTCACCAGTTTTAGAAATTATCTACCTAATTTCCTCTTATAATAGATAAGAGCACAATAAAGCCTGGGAAAGCCAGAGCCTGTTAGAGAAGGAAAATTCAAGTACTTTCCACTAAAATAAGCAACAGGAAACTGTGAAAGGTTAGGAGACTTGTGAGAACCAGAATAAAACAAGGCTCTGGTGTATAATCTGCAGGAAGTTGCACGGCCAACCTAAAGGGCACACCTCTCTGCTGGTTTGAATTCACCAGTGGTATCCGCGGGAGAAAGAGGGGCAAACTCAATCTGTGTGATTTACAGCCTAGAAAACCCAATGGAGGGTCAGCTTTGTCAGTTCTGACTCACAGTTGTCAATGTGAGACTACTATAGTGCTTGGTTTGGACATGTTGCTAGAAGCTACTCCTTGGAGAGGGACATTATGCTTGAAATGGTAGAGGGGTCAGTGAAAGACCGGAGACCCCCAGTGAGATTGACCGACATGGTAACTGCAGCAATGGGCTCGAGTGTGCCAGAGAGGATGAGGATGGCACAGGACCGGACAGGGTTCAGATCTGCTGTTCACAGGTTCATCACAAGCCGTACTTGACTTTGACGGCACTTAACAACAACAACAACAACAACAACAACAACAACATATTTTATGTCATTTCCCCCTCGTATTATCTCAAAGAATCATGAGAGTTCTGAAAGGATCTCCCACCTTATTAAATTCAAGCTCATCATTTCACAGATGAGAAAGATGGGCCACTCATGACAAGGGAGGGGCCCACGCATGGCAAGGGAGCAACCCCCTCAGCCACACAGCTCTCCTGACCCCCAGCTTTCATGCTGGCTTTCTTCCCTATTATTTTCTCTAGGACTCAAAGACTCTGTAGTCTTTATATACTACAGGACTTAAGAGAGCTGGGCCATTCTATACTACCCACAATCTTCTTAAGCGGCTCTTGGGTGTGGTACTCTTCAACCCCAGAGAGGGGGTGGGGGTGAGGAGGTGGGTGGAGGACCCTCGGAGCAGGTGGAGGACCCGAGGGGTAGGTGGAGGACCCGCGGAGTAGGTGGAGGACGATTGAGAAGCAGAGGAGGGATCTGGCTCTTTGGAGTTGTGAAAGAGGGAAACATTTTCCTTGCGTTATCACACTTCATAAAGTCAGAATGAGTACAGAGAAGTAAGTGAATTTGCTACTTGGGTGTTCTTTCAATTTACTGAATGTTACATAGAAGAACAGATACACAGAGACTCCCAGAACTGCAGAGCTTTATGACACTGTCTAATGGCATCATTTCTAGCACGTGAACTTCTGAAGCCACTTTAATTCTCAGACAGGCAAGCAATCCTCGGTCATTTATAATCACAAAAAAAGTTTTTATTAGCTGGCATTTTCAGGTACTTACGGTTCGTAGAAAGAGAGCTCTAGGGGCATGGTGGTTAAAGTACTCAGCTGCCAACCAAAAGGTTCACTGTTAAAATCTACCAATTGTCTTGTTGTTGTGTGTCACTGAGTGGGGACTGGCACATAGCTGGCCCTCCAGTGGGTGTTTGGAGGCACTTAATCGCAGGGAGGGGACTGCCCACCTTTCTCCCTGGCAGCAGCAGGTGTGCCTTTGGGCTGACCGCAATTCCTCACCACCAGGCCAGCAGAGCTCCCTCAGAGCTGCACAGGAGAAACAATGTGGCTGTCTGCGGCTGTAAGATTTACAACCTTGGAAACTGGGAGGCAGTTCTACTCTGTCTTAAGCATCAGAAGTGAGGCTCGTTTGGTTTTTTGCTCTTCAGAGTGCTGGTGGTGCAGAGCTAACGGTCTCCCTCACCAGTCATTTGGAGGGAAGGAATGGAGTTTGCTGCCTTATGACTTTCACCCTCAGGGGGAGTTCTACTCTGTCCTACATGATCACTACGAGCTGATGGCAATGGGTTTAGTTTTGGTTTATTTCCCTTAAGAGGCCTAGTAGGATAAGATGCCGTCAACACACAGCGCTCCTTCTGCTGTGAGAGAAGTAGGGGTTCTAAAACCACCTCCCAGAGATGGAGAGGGACAAGCTGGAAAACCACTGAGTCTGGGGGCTATAAACCAGAAGGTGTGCACAGATCCCCCTAACACCACACCATGACCCTGGGGGCTGGACTTAATGCCAGAAACAGGCTCATTTCACACAGGGGCACACTACGCTTGCCTTTCAACTAGCAGCTGTGTCTCCATTACCAGTGGTCCTTTGGGCTACCACAGACTTTGGGACATGGATGCTCCATGCTGGGACCCTCTCAAGCTTTATCTTGTGTGTCTCTTCATTTGTACCCTTTTGGCTGCAATAATAAAACTAATCTTAAGTAGACTACGCTTTCCTGAGTTCTGTGAGTCATTCTAGTGAACCCAAGGGCAGCAGTAGGAACCGCCAATCTTACGGTCGACAAGGCCGGAAGGGAAGGGGCTGTGGGGACATGTGGTGTTACGCAGACAGCAGCCCGAGGGAGCAGTGCAACTCCTGACAAGCTGGCAGTCTGCAGGACTATGCCTTGGAACCTGTAAGGTCTCACCTAGCTCTGTGGTTCGGGTTGGAACCGCATGTTCAGCTGATGCCGCCCCAGCACGCGCAGCAGTTCAACATGCTCGTTGGCTTTTACCTCTTTTGGGCTTCCTTACTGACGAGGTCCATTTCTGAGGTTCTCCTGAACATCTCTTCCTGGACCCAGTATCCTTGGCTCCCTGGCCCCAGAATTTCAGGCCGGCAGAGCTCTTTGCGATTGCAGCGCTGGTAGATAGTGACCAGACGTCTGAGGCGAGCCGTGAGCGCGGAGGAGACTGGCCAGGGCGATTTGTCTGGGTCGGAGCCATCCTGGGCTTCAAACATCAGTGAGGATATTAGTATTTACAAACAGAACTCAAACCAGGGTGACTTTACCCCTCCCTTCTTTGTTTAAATAAGAACAAAACCGACCCAGGAACGTAAAAGCAGTTACAGTCTAATAACTGGCTCAGGAACTGGGCACAGTCGCCGGGTCTGCAGTTTTGCTGTAGGAGGAATTTAAGGTTGTGGTTGCAATCTTTCAAACAGAACACACCCTCGTGTGAGGGCAGCACGGATCTGCGGCCTGTGCTCTGAGCACAGGACCGTGCAGACCCTCTGGAGACGGCGCCACACAGAACTGTGGGCTTTTGTGCAGCTGGCCCTCCCTGCTGCCAAAGCCGCCAGTAAGCTTGAATTGGGGGTGGGAGGGGAGAGGAGAAAACCTGAAACCCAAACCAAAGAAAAACCAATGCTACCACAATTCCTATTTCGTGGACCCTAGTCTGACTCCCTTTTGCACTTCAGTGTGTTAGAGGAAGTTTGCCAAAGCCACAGGAAGCGCCACGTGTTTGGTGGGCTCCGGGAGAATTTAGTAAGAGTTAACTTAATTGGTTTTTTTTAAAAAAGTGTTCTTTAAGGCTTTTTATGAACAGCATTTTCAAGAGAAACACATTCCAGGGTTACCACACACTGGGACCTTACTTTTTTTGCCTTCAGATGGATACAATCTCACCTGCCCGGCTGTCATCTTTCTTTTCAACAAAAATGCCATCGCCACCATCACTGGAACTCTCCTAGAGACAAAAGAAGCCATCCCATCAGCCATCCTGCAGTTAGCGAGACACCAGCCCAGACACCCCTACCCCTACGCGCCGGAGTCAGCTCCTGCCCCGAACAGCTCCAAGACAGGGCCCAAGCCACTGCTGCAGACCCAGCTCTGACTCACAGCCACCCGAAATGACAACGCAGAACTGCCTCAGAGCTTTCCAGGCCGTCATCTTTACAGAAGCAGAACACCACTACTTCCTCCTGTGAAGCAGTGGGTCTGAACTAACGACCTTTTGGTTAGTGGCTGAGCAATTAACCACTACACCACCAAATTCCAAGGAAGATAGAGAGTCTCAATCAGCAATCCTACTGTACAGAACTGAACTGTCCTTGAGGGTAACAGCAAAGCATTTTAATCATGATCCCATCAGGTCTCCTTAAAAGAGACGTCACACTGAAAACCTACTGCAGTTGAGATGGCCTCAGCCACGGAGCATGGAGTTTCCAAGCCTGCACACTCTTATGGGTGGAGAGCGCCCGTCATTCTCTGGTGGAGCAGCTGGTGGCCTAGAAGTGCCCTTTGATAAACAGTATGTTCACAGCCCAACAGTGCCTGGTAAACATAGTTCACTGCTATACAGTTTAAAACGGACAGAGCAGTCTATCTGGAGCAAACATTCATTCCTGCAACTGTGCTACCAGAATGATGAACTGGCATGTTCTCCCCGGCAGTTACATTTTTACAAGCACAATTTTAGCTGTGAATTGAAATATTTGCTTCACCACTGTCAGCTGCAATTTAATACAGTCATTTCACAAAGATCGTGCGCCCTCCCCCACTTTCTGCCAATACCAGCCTGCTCGGGAGCTGACTTCACAGCAACAGACGCTGTTTCCCTGAAACACGACTGCTCCAGACACGAGCCCCGATGGTGTAAAACCCCGGGAATTTAAAATTAAAATCAGGATTTGGGGATCCAAGCAGGAATACTTGTCAAACTGGCACCAGCAGATTCCGTTAGGAACCCTTTACTCAGGCTCAGATATGGAGTATTTTAAGTGACTTAAGTACAAGAGTTTTATAAGTGTCTTAAATACAAGATCCTAAATCTTTGATTGGGAAGATTCTGCCCATCTCTCTCCCAGGGGGAAGCTGGCGGGTTCCAGTCTCACACCTACTGCTTAGAGCCTGTACGTTACACACTACGTGGTTAGGGCTCCTTGCGAAAAACAGATGCACACGAAATAGTATTTATGTGAAAAGAAGCAATTTTATTAAGAGAAAACGACCAGAATTTTTAAAAAGAGGCTTTGTTTCTGCATCCCCGACATGCCTGTGTGGGTTTTTGGGCAGCTGATTTCATTTTTTTCCTCTCTACAGTGAGAGTAAAAATAACACCCAGCTGTAGTGACACAGGCTGTATAATGTTACTACTTGAGTTTCAAGATCCTCAACTTCTCAACTCAAAGAAAAGATAGTAATACGAAGTCAAAGGAGCCAGCTACATTGCTCAACTGGCAAGTGCTTACACATATATAATAAAACAACTTAAAGTACGAAAATTTAACACTTAAAGAAAAAAAAAACCCAACCAAAAACGGGGGGGGGGGGGGAGGGCACACCACCCTCCTCCAAAAAGAGAAGAGTAATTGTTTAAACACTAACTGAATCTTCCCCATATAGGATTTAGTGGGTTTCTCTGCAAGTTCTTCCTGCTCACACTTTGGCCATGAACTCCTCCTATCCACTGACCTTGTCCTTCAGAGTCTGGCCTGAGACCAGCACGAGTCAGGTGCAGCAAGGGAAAAGTCAATGACGCAGCACAAGGACAACACATGCTTGCAACCTCGCTGGACGAATGAAAGCTGTGTCGTCAGTCACTGCCATCAATGTTAAAAGACATGCTGATCTTCCTGGATCCCAGATTCATGTATAAGTACAGGCTGTAGACAACTCCAAACAAAAACAAACTTTTAAACAAACTGCCCTTGAAGATCTCTGCAGGGTCACCAAATCCAGCCATATCAGAAACCTCTGTTTACTATTAAAAAGGTGCTGCTGGAAAACCCACTAAAAGAAAGGGGTGGGGGGAGCAGGCAGCAGACGACATACTCTCAAAAGTGCTTTTCAAATCTTATATTCTGGGATTCTTTGAATGCTGCGTTTTAAGAGGACAGTTTGGGGATGCCAGACTGCATCAGAGCAGCAGGGACTTCGAGACCCATGAAATGGAGAAGAAACTAGAAATATTTCATCTTCCTGCCACTAGGCCACCAGAGCTCCCTTTGCTGTGTACTTCTGAGTCCTCTGGTAGGTTGTATGCTTCTTGGAATTTGCCCGTTTCACCTACATTATCCTAGATGTTACTGTACAGTTGTTTCTCGTTCCATGTCTGTCAAATCAATGAGACTCAAAGCAACCAGGCTGAGGCTGCGAATCTTCAAGGCAGGAGAACGACTTTTGCCTACAGACTGCCTGGTGGATTCCAACCAATGACCTTATGGTTAGCAGACTAACAAGTTACACCCTCCGTCACCAGGGCTCTATCATAAGTCACTTTATTTTTATTTGTACTGCGTCACTTGAAAGAGTCTCCCTTTCTTTTTTCATGCTCATATTTGCATCTTGACTTTTCTTAGTCAATCTGGCTGAAGATTTGTAAATTTTATTGATCTTCTCAACGACTTTCAGATTTTTATTCACGCTACGACATCCAACACTGTTTCTGGTTTTTACTTTTATTTATTTCTGTTCTGATCTTTGTTATTTCCTTTTTTTCTAGATCTACTGTATTTTTACGTGTGTAAAGCACTGGCCACCCATTCCCTGCCTCCCAGCCTTTGTAGTTATTTTCATCCTTACTGCTTATGTCACTTGAAAAATCCCCAAAACTCAACATGAAGCAACTAAAAATTAGGATCCTTACAACAATCAAACATACAAGAACAGAAGGCAGCATTCACCCAGGATAAAGCTCAGAAGCCAGGGAGGGACAGAACGGGAAAGGGAAACACAGAGGAGAGAGCGGAGCTACCATGTGGGCACTGTCATAAACCTCAGGAAACGTGTACAAACTGTTGAATGGAAATCAATTTGCTTTGTAAATATTAACACAAGTTAACTTTCTGTCAAGTTAGTGCAGCGTATTTATACTACTACTTCAGGACAGGGAAGGAGTATGCTATTTTTGTAAGAATACATTTTTATTGGTAATTACTGATAAGCAGTGACCTACTTCTATTATTTTGTTCTCTTCTGTGTCTTAGAACCTTGCCTTCCTTCTTTGCTACTGCTAGCTTTTGGCTTTCACTGGTTTACTGCAGCAAGCCGCTTTGTCTCCAGATGTCTTTCTTTTCTGTCGATTATTTTTATCTATTTCCTAAGTGGTTAGCATGAATATTTTATTAAATAGCTTGTATTTACAAATTCTAGGATAAGCTGGTGCCAACTTATCTTTGACAACATAAAAAAATCTGCACTGATACTATTATTCTTCTCTCTTCTTTTTATTTTTGTCATCACAAATGACATCTTTAATTTAATTACATGTTTCTGCTAATAGAATTCCAACTTTGCTTTTTAGATATTTGTTATTTAAAACAGAAAGGGCAAAACAGAATTCCAACTAATTGTGAGCTCATTTTCATCACTTATTTGGAAATTAAGTAAAAGTGGATCACAGGTATACTGTGAAAGTAAAACCATAAAAATTTTACAAGAAAATCTTGGAAGTCTACTATTAGACTGAGTTCTTAGACTTGGCACAATAACATGCTAAGGAAAGAAAAATCAAGTAAGCTGGATTTCATAAACACATGAAAGTTTTGCTCTACAAAAGGTTGTGTGAAAATAACAAAACCTATTGGGTGGGAGAAAATATTGGCAAACCACATGCTTGACAAAAGCCTACTCTGTAGAAAAGATATTTCTCAAAAATCAACAGTAAACAATGCAATTAGAAGACAGACAAGGATATGGATACAGCTGGCAATTAAGCAAATAAAACGATGTCCAACAATCATTAGCAATTAGGGAAACACAAATGGAAACCATAATGAGAAAGGACTATCCACTTATTTGAGGACTCAAACGAAACACAGCGTCAACACCAAATGCTAGGATGCAAAAAACCTGGATCTCTGCTACATACCTTGCTGGTAGCAGTGTAAACTGGTAACATGACACAGCCCCTCTGGTAAAGTGAGCTTCTTAGACTCAGTCTCTAACTATTATGGTTGCTACTGTTAGCTGCTGCTGACTCAATTCTGACTCTTACTGACCCCATGAGTGCAGAACAGAACAACTTCCAGGATCTTCAAAGTTGAGATGTTCTGGAAGCAGAATACCAGGCTTGTCTTCCGAGATTATCTCTGGATAGTAGACAAGCGCTTAATAATTAGCACTGCTCAGGCACTCCTATCAACTGACCTAGCAATTGTACTTATAGGCATTTACACCAAAGAAATGAAAATGTGTGTTTATGTAGAAAACTGTACACAAGATACTTCATAACAGCCCCAAACTGGAAACCATCAGAATGCCCTTGTATTGAGCAATAAAAAGAAAGAAATCATTGATAACCAAAACTCTGGATGAACTATTTGAGAGAAATCTCAAAAGATCACAGACGATGACTTCATTTATGTAATATTCTTAGAATAGCAAAATGAAAGCAATAGGGAAAATTATAGAACCACATTCCTGGTTTCCGGGTTAAGGAAGGATTCAGGATGGAAGGAAAAGGAACCAGGAAGTATCCTTGTGGAGTGAAAAGTCTGCAACAGTGGAGGTATCAATGTAAACATCCTAGATTGTGATACTGTCCAACAGTCATAAAATTTTATCACCAGCAAGGCTAGGTACCTCAAAGCAAAAAAATTCAATTATTATAAAAATGTAGCATCGTCTGTATGTTTGATAATTTTCCTATCATTATTTTTGGGAAAATGCAATGCAATTGTTATTGTTATGTGCTGCTGTGATGCCTATGACTCACAACGACCCTATGAACAAGTATCTGAACCTTGCCCTACCTACCCCTGTCCATCCTTACATTTTTGGACATGCTGGAGCCCCCTGGTAAGAGTTACTGTGTAAAAATCCTTGTTGAGGGCCTCTCTCTCTTTAGCTAACCTTCTATACCTTTCTCTTTTGAAGGGAAAAGTTTTGTTTTAAGAGTAAGGTGTGCCTGATTCAGGTCAAGATGTTTTTAAATCACTTTTTAGGCATCTGAGAGCTGGACAATGAATAAGGATGATGGAAGAAGAACTGATGCCTTTGAACTGTGGTGCTGGAGAAGAGCCTTGAATACCCCATGGACTGCCAACAGAACAAACACCCAGGTCTTGGAAAAGGTGCAGCCAGAGTGCTCCTGGGAGGCAAGGATGACAAAGCATAGTCTCAAACACTTTGGACATGATGCTAGGAGAGGCTTTTCCTTGAAAGGGGCATCACGCCTGGAAAAGTGGAGGGTCCGCAAAAGAAAAAAAGACTGCGGACCAAATGGATTGACACAGTGACTGCGACTGCAGTCATGGGCTCAAGTGAGTCAGAGATAAAGATGGCACAAAAGAGGACAGGGATCAGATGTGTTGTTCATAGGGCTGTTATGAGTTGTCCTTGACTGGATAGTATCTAACAACAAAATCAACAACTACCTTTCTCAGAATGATGCCTTTTCCTAAGGACTGGTCATTCCTGACAACATGACCCAAGTATGTGAAATGTAGTTTCACCATCCCTACTTCTAATGATGTAATTACATCATGTCATTAAAGGCCCTAAGAGCATTACCACATGGAGCCTTGTTTCTTGATCGTCTAGACAGTGTGGACTGCCCAGACAGCACAGCTTACTCACCACTTGTTTCTGGAGGCCTTCTAATTTCTCCTCAGCATTATCTTCTTTATCCGTGTTGCCTCTAGATAAAGGTAAAACAACAATAATAAAGCACCATCCAGGAGTTAGCCTGCAATTAGGACACAGGAAGAAAAACTTAAATATTACTGATTGTGGTGGTTAATATCCAATGACATTGTGGCCATGATCCTTAAAATAATGTAACTAGCTTTACTTTGCTCAGCTCCATAGTCAACAGTCTTGGCACCAGCAGCCAGGAAATTAAAAGGCGCATTGCCATGGGAAAGTCTGCTGTTAGGGACCTCTCCAAAGTGCTGAAGAGCAGTGGTATTTCTTTGGAGACTAAGGTGCGTCTGATACAGGCCATGGTCTTCGCAATCACCTGTTACGCATCAGAGAGTTGGACAATGACCAAGGAGGATAGAAGGAGAATTGATGCCTTTGAGCTGTGGTGCTGGAGAAGAGTATTGAGAATACCATGGACTGCTAGGAAAACAAACAGATTTGTCCTGGAAAGGGTTAAACCACGTGGCTCCTTGGAGGCAAGGATTCTGAGGCTCCGTCTAACTTACTTTGGACATGTTGTGAGGAGAGACCGGTCCTTAGAGAGGGACATCATGCTTGGGAGGGTGGAGGGACGGCGCAGGAGAGGAAGACCCTCTATGAGGTGGATTGATTCAGTGACTGGGATAATTGGGATGGGAGTGTCAGAGACAGTGCGACTGGCACAGGACAGAGCGGAGTTTAGGGCTGTTGTACATAGGGTCGCTATGAGTCGCAGGTGACTCGACGGCACATAACAACAACAACAACAACATCTTATGTGCTGTAAATATCAATTTCTCTATGGGAGGTTTGGCAGCCTAGTGGGTAAAGAATTGTGCTGCCAACCCAAAGGCACGTGGTTTGAATCTCCCAGCTGCTCTGAGGGAGGAAGATGGGCCATGTCCTTCTGTGCGATTTACTGCCTCTGAATCAGCTGTGAGCAGGTTCTATGTTCATGGCATGTAACACGTATGTGAAACTAAAGGGGCTGGATTAGAAGAGATTCTGTGAAGATCATAACCAGTCTTCTCTGACTTAGGGGATTATCATCTGTCCACCTGCTATCTAGTACGCGGAGTTGGAAACTCACTGCTGACTCTCCAGTGGGTTTTCAGAGTCTGTAAACTGCTCTGGAGAAGCTGCCCATCTTTCTCCTAAGGAGACGCGGGTGGAGCATTTGAACCGTCTACCTTGAACCCAACTCCTTACCAACTAGGCCACCAGAGCTCCCTCGTAAATATACACACAAAAACACCGCAGAGCCTTCTGTAAGATCTGCATGTGGCTGATCAAATCAGTTGCCTATCCTAGTTTCTGACTTTGGACCTGTCAGTCTCTAAAGGTGGCAGCATCCAAAGCCAGTGTGGCCGGAGGCCCTGCCTACCTGCTGAGGACTTGGGGTCATTGGCCTTTCCAGAAATTTCTCTCAAGGTGTGACCTATAGAGCTGAGACTTGTACTAGCCTTGACAAACAAGTGAAGTACTTCCTGGAAATAAATCAACTCAACTGACTGCAAATGAGTCGGAACCAAGTCACAGGCGACCCTCCAGGAGGTTTTCAGAGGCTGTAAACTGCCCCAGAGGGGACGCCAGTCCTTCTCCTGAGCAGCAGCTTGGAGCATTCTGCCTGCCTCTGGGTTGGTGGCCTAACTCCTAACCCACTAGGTCATATCTCACATATGTATTTAGTACACACACATATACATGTATATGTGTAAGCTTTATTGGTTTTTGCTACTCTAGAGAACTTAGTTGAAAATATTGACCAAAAAAAGTAAATCCCTTTCTCCACAGGGGCCCAAATCTCATTTTCCCTCTTTCTTATTGGAGAATTCAAGAGACAATGAAATGAAATGAGAGAAAGTGGACCAAACAGTATCATCACTTTTCTGGGTAAAGACCTTCTATTTTCTGATATTCTCGCAAAAGACTCCAGCCCATGCCCTACACTGGGACACAGGTCAGAGGCTAAGCAGTCCTTAAAACAATGCCCACCAAGGGCTCTGAACAAAGAAGAGAGTTGACACTGAAGGCTGTGAAACCCAGGTGATTCCAGACAGGCACACTGCAGGTCACAGCAGAAGGAATCTTCAGACAAAATCACTTACATTTGGCAAAAATGATGTCCTCAGAAGACAGCTCTACTGCCACTGCCAAAAAAGAAGGAGATTTCACCCTGTCTATCGTCACACGTTTGCCTCTAGTGTCTTTTCTCTCATGAGTTTAACAACTGGCAATGCCTGCTTTTCATGACCGACTCTAACACTGGCGTGGCTGTATAGCTTACCCCAATTAGAACTGTCAATGCTGCTGACAAATCTCCTTCTTCCTTCATTGATTATCACAAGAAGAATAAGGTATCTTACAAAAACATAAACTTAGGCCACATTCAGGGAAGATGGTTCCTGAACTGGCCAATCTGCTGGGATTGTCAATCATTTAGGAGTTTTCTAAAATACTCAAAAATACTTCTCCCAAAATACTTCTTTTTTTAAAAAAAATAGCTCTTATTATTTTCCCCCCATAGGAAACACCTTAAAAGATAAGAGTATTATACTGTTGTGTTTATCACGAGTTAAAGGCAGATGGAAAATGCACCTTTTTCTTGGTCTGACCAGCTGGTAGGAGTTCCTGGTGGTGCCAAGCACCTGCACGTTTGGGCCTGGCCACAGCCCAAGGCAATGTGAAACTATCTACTACTTTTGGAATGATCAGGCCAAAAGCTCACCAAATACACTCCAAGAGAGTATGGATATATTTCCAGTTGAACGATAGCTCTGGCTCTTAATTTCGCTTCCTTGTGAACTTAACCTATTTCGGGGTTATGCCAACAATAAACAAAGCACAGCCAAAGGTGATGTCTTCAAATTTCTGCACATAATCCATGGATAAGTCTATAAGGCAATGGGAGTGTAGTAAAAAGCAAAACGAAACCCATCACCACTGAGCTGCTATCAGCTCACAGACACCCTACAGAACAGGGTAGAAGTACCCTGCAGGGTCTCGAAGGCTGTCGGTCTCTGTGGAAGTTAACTGCCAAGTCTTTCATCCAGCAGTGGACTGGGATTGAACTTCTGCCCTTTCAAAGAGCAGCTGACTGCTTAATCACAGTTCCATGAGGGTCCCATGCTTTCTAGTAATGTCTCGTAACTCCATCTCACTCAGTATTTCATAATCCTGGACATTCATTTGAGAAAATATATGGTCTGCAAATCTGTAGTCATGGGCCCTCATGTAGACTAGTTGTAAATCCTTCAAGAATCATCTGAATGGATAAGACACAAGCCTGGTTAAGGAGCCGGGCAGGGCAGTGGGCCTATTGGAGGAGGATCGGAACTGGTATTTGGTTTCAAGTGCTTAGAGGCCAAAGAGCAGGTGTGTGCAACAGCAAGATACAAAGGAGCAACTGCAGAAAGAACTGGCCTTAACAGCTCGCGTTTAGATTGATGTCAGATCCTGGAACATGATGATGAAGAGATACGAAGAATACAGCCTCACGTGTCACATCAGGGCTAGCTTTCGCAGTTTCTCACCTTTCAGGAATGTCTGAGGTGCCATCTGTGACTCCCTGTTCTGCAGACAGAGACTTCTCATCCGGCATTCCAACTTTCTCTAGGAAGCAAAGTGCTGGGTCGGCCCGCATGGCGTTGTACCTCTCATAGCCTGATCAGGAGTAATGAGAAACGATACAAAGTCATCTGAGTCTTTGGCCCTGGACAATCATTGTTTTCCTTACCGAACAAAAATGATTACAAAGATGATACATTAAGCAAAACAACCGCCATCCGCCAAAAACCTATTTAAGATTTATCCGATCCTATGAAGACCTCTTTTTAAAAAAGACCTCTTATTAGGAAAAATCCTTGAGCTAAAATCCAGTGGACACCTTTGGGTAACGCTTGGCCAAAAATCAGTAAATATTCTATCTCCATGAAATGGCATAAGGCAAAGGTAAAATTCTCACTGCTTTCAGACAGCAAAGGGGATTGGCCAAGTGTTTTGAAATTTTTCATCCTTCAATTTTCCACCGTGGACATTGTCATCTCCTGAGAGGGCCTTGTTTTCGTACAATTCCATTTTATTGCATGTGTCAGAAAAGTAAGCTGACAAAAGAAATGAATTCAAGGGCAGAAAAAGTAAAAACTACTGCAACTGTTTACTGTAGTAAGCAGACATGTTAACTCTGTATTCACAAACCCACAAAGGAAACCTAACTCACTGGCCAAGGTTTTAGAATTGTTCCTTTTTGCATCCCTTAAGTCAACATAGGTGGGCTATTTTGGTTTTGGAAAGAAGATGACAGAAGAGAGGCAGAACAATGACAACAAAACAAAGACATCATGTTGATGGGGTCCGTGCAAGGTAATGTATTTTATGCAATCTAGTAAAATCTCAGGTGAGAGCTGGTCATGTAGAAGACCCAAATCTGTGGTCCTACATAACCATTTTGTGGTAAATGGTTTTATGATCAACAAAAGCTGAACATCTATGAAATGAGAACCAGCCTGGGTGTTAGGAACAGACCTGACTTTACAAGACTTGGTGCCCATTTCTGTATCGCTTCTGTTGTGTCAGTGTTGATGCAGTTGTATCCTGTACCCTTTACTTGTCACCGCGTAGCACCTGGTACCTTTTCCCTAAGGAGATACTGGTATTTGATCCTTTAATTCAAAGGGACACTCTTGCCATCTCCTTTGACAGGTACTGTCTAGAAGGCACAGTATCGTCTCCTTGACCAGAATCCCAAACAGGAGATTTCTGTTTCTGCTTGTCTTTATGTATTCTTCACCGCGCACAGGGCGTCTACACTAGATGATAGCTGATTCGATGGGTCCAGAATCGTCCCTTAATCTCACTGCCCCTTGAGTCTGATCTAGCTGAGAGCTGACGGTCTACTCAGTTGCCGAGGCTGTAAGTCACAGGAGACTGCCCACTTTTCTCTGTAGAGAGGCTGGTGCATCTGAACCTCAGTAAAGTCTAATCTCTGGGTTAGCGGCACAAGTTCCTCTGACTCTCAGGATCTTTCTCACCTTCTCCCTATATTCCCACATCAGCTTACACCAGAACAGACAGTTCACTCACATTCCTGCCATCTGGAGAAAATCGCTGACATTTTGTGTCCACTTCATAAAAAGAGGGGTAATTTATCTGATTGGCCGTCTTCCACTATGTCCTTCCTGCTGAGATGGGTTAGCTGCCCGCTGCCCTCACGCTCTCTGTACTTGACAGGCCTCACAGCTGGCCAACCCCTCGAAGCAGGCCAACCCTTCTGAGAGGCACACTTCTACTCTGCAGATCACCTCCAGGCATGTGTGGGTTTGAAGTGTACCTTCCCATTTCAAATGCAGAAGTGCATTTGTATTGTTCTGCAGACTCTGTATTTCCAGTTTTCAATTAGCTGAGAAGTAGAGTGAGGAAAATCTCTTCTATTCTTAAGAGCTCTGGCAGTAATACAGACACAAATGGCAAAACGGCAAGCCTCGGAGCAGTGCAGGCTGCTTGCCACTTTCCAATTAGGCTATAAACTCCTAAGACTAAGAACAGAAACACTAAATTCCATTACGTCAGTAAGTTTCATAAAGGTAGACTGACTACTTTGAAGGCAGACCAGTCACTTAATGCATATGAAAGCTGTCAAGAGTATCATTTAGAAGAAGTTTGCTACGGGGGCCTTCTTGTAGGCTAAAATCCCAACCAAAGACTCAGCTAATTACTCCACTGGGATCAGTTCAGACGGGGAACCAGGATTCTGATGTCAGTAAGTTCTACAGAAGGCTGTGCCCGAGGTGAAACCATGTATCTCGCACAATGAATAGCTCAGTACTCTTCAGCAAAGAAAAAGGGTGTAGCCCATAACTCACACTTAACCAAGGGGTGAAGGTGAGGCAGAGAGGGTGCTCTGCAGGACACAAGACTTTTGAAAGTGAAGAGTAGACTGGTTCTCTGCAAATGGCTGAATATTACATTTCCAACAGTTCCTGAGTATCTGGGACAGATCATCACTTGTATAAGACACGCTATCTGGGCTTGGCTATACCTTGGCAAGGCTGTCCTGGGAGGTCAAGTGTGCTGTCCAGATGAGGACAGGTTGTAAGCTTGCGTGCACAGAATGTCTTGTGGGCAGTATCTAGTTAAGAACAGGATGAGCTGGATCAAGACTTTGGAAGCTCTGTAGGAAGAAAGGTCTGCTATGGTAACTGCCAGTGTCTAGCTGATCAACCTAGTCTGGTGTAACTACATTGGTAACTAGAACTGGAATCAGTCAGAAGCTAGGTTTATACCATCTTTACAGCGTAACTGGTAAGTGCATCATGTATTACAAGGTGTAACATCCACCTCTTAAACTGTACACATCACTTTCCAGACATCTGTCATATGACCCTAATACTCAGCCTGGTGAATTGGGTGATGCATCATCTTAAGGTTGCCACAAGTGTGCTCAGGACACCCTTAGAGATTAACTTCTATCCCCCAAAAAGAGTTGAGAGAATTTAAATTTGGAAATACTTAAATATCATCTAGTTTGATTCTCTGCCATGAGACTAAGAAAGAAATTGCTTGGTCTCATTATTCTAAACCTTCAACAAGGATCATGGGACATGTAGTTTATTAATTTCTCTTTCCGAGGACAGATAGGGCGCCAGCTTCCTCATATTACAATCTGGGGCTAAGGTATTGCTGTCAGAGGTTACTGTCTCCCTTGTGAACTGCACCTGTCCTCATTGCTATGATCACTTTCTTTGCTTATAATTAGGCAGCTTAATTTTTTCAAGATTATTTTATTCACACTAGTTTTATTTTAAGTATTTTCTTAGCAAATCTTATTTTAAGTTTCAAACTTATTCTAGTTGCCAGGTCGTATCTTCTCTTTCATGCCTCTCTCTCTTACTCTTCCAGTCCTGCTGCCTTGGGTCAGTTTTTCTCTCTCTCTCTCTTTTTAAATGTCCCCTTTCTTCCTGAAGGAGCTGCTCTTTCTAGGCCATGCATGCTGTTCATTTCTGTGTGGGTATTAAACACCCAGTCCTTGTGTCTGCTGCCATCATAGTCCCTGAGCTCTGGTTCCAAGCCTTCTTCTCTTCACCTGGGAATTTCCCCTTCCTTCTTTAAGTTCATCTGAGTAGCTTCGCATTTTTGTCCTCATTCAGTAGGACAGTTCCAGATGCCCATGGCATGTGAACTGGGCTTGGGGGAGGCAGAGAAGGTATGTTAACCCTGTCTGTCATACTACAGGTTGTAGCCTCTATGTGTTAATTTTTGACACAAAGGTTTGGTAATGAAATGGTCATAGAAACGAGATATAGGATTACTATACATCTGAAGGCAACACGTTTGACTGATGCTCTGGATTTTGGCTGCCTTCAGCAACAGCTTGCCTTCTGAGTACTTTCCAAATTTAGATTAAACCAAATTTTGGCTGCATTATGGTACTGTGTGATTGACAGGTAAATCACATGCTTCTTCCTCTACTTCAGAGCTGCACTTTTCACTGTCCAATGGAAGCCATTAGCCAACTGTGACTTCTTGTTGTTGGGGGCCATGGCATCGAGTACCCTATGAACAAAAGATCTGAAGCCAGTCCTGTCCTGCACCATCCTCACACTTCCCGACACATAAGAGCCCACTGCAGCAGTCACCTTGTCAATCACCTGGTTGAGAGCCTTCCTCTCCTTCGTCGACCCTCCACCCTTCTCAACATCATGTCACTTTCCAAGGAAGAGCCCTTCCTGGCAATATGTCCAAAGTATGTAAGGTGAAGTCTCATCATTCTTGCTTCCAAAGACCACTCTGGCTGCACCCTCTCCAAGACTTATCTATTCATTTTCTTGGCCGTCCATGGGATGTTCAGTGTTCTTCTCCAACACCAATAGCTCAAAGGCATCAATTCATTTTCTGTCATCCTTATTCACTGTCCAGGTCTCAGATGCAAAGCTCGTAATCAGAAAGACCATAGCCTGAATCAGATGCACCTTATTCCTTAAACTGACATGACTATCCTTCAATAATTTGGAAAGATCCCTAACAGTAGACTACTTAGAATTAAATGAATGAAAATAATAGTTACTCAGCTGCACTAGTCACATTTCAAAGCCACACATGACTATTGGCTTCCATCCTGCACAGTGCAGAAACTGGGAGTTTCCACCGTCACTGCTCTAGCCTCACCCCAGTAGTCTTCAGAGAACTCTCAGTTAACACCAGACACCTTGAAACTAGCATTCTTAATTCTTCATTCAAATGTATCAACCCAACACTTCATTGTTGTCAGTCAAAACAGACTCAGAGCTGACTCTCCAGTGAGATGCTGCCTTTGGTTACTTGAGAGAAGTTCCCTAGGGTGTGGGCCAACAGTGCTCCTCTTCTTAAAATGTACAGGTATAGTTGCTACATGAATGTAAATGGCTGGTCTTCAGAGGCTGAAGAACTCTCTCTATAGGGCAGGACACCTAATAGAAAGTGAACAACTTTCCAAAGGCAGGCAACAAAAAGAAAATGAAAGAGAAAGGAACAGTGTGGAACATCTTTTATCTACCAATCACTCGTTCTAGAAGGACTACATATTAAATGACTCATTACATTCTGAGGTAACCTCAACATAATCGGTTTTCATACTCTAAGGAAACAGGTCAGAAGAATATATGACTTATCCAAGGTCACACATCGAGTCAGTGGCAGAGATGGCAAGCTAAAGGCAATGTGCACATATAACTCTTCATCTACTATCGTCTGTTTTCTGATTTAAAGTATCTGTTATTCACCTGGCAAGAAAGATGTTTACCAGCTATAACTGTCTTTATTCCCTTTAACAGTTGCGGCTTGCAGACAAGAAGAGCAGGTGCCTTGAAAAGTACTGGAAGGAAGGAGAGGTGGTACTTATTTCAGTTTCTCCAACTATGATTCTCTCTCTCGAACTGTTTGCTGACATGACTAACATACTCAAAAAAGGATACCAGGGTCATCGTCTGTCTTGAATTTTCACACCAATGGGGCAAAAGATATGCACGAGGGATAGAGAGACTGTCTAGAATGATCTAAGAATTGTGTCTGCATACAAAATAACAACACCTAGCATTCGTACCTTCACAACTGGTTCCTTCACTCAAGAAGCACCAGGTAACTACAATCACTACCCAGATATCTGGGCTGTAAAGACAGATGAGAGAGAGCGTTTCAAGCTGACAGAGTACTGAGGAAGATATATAGTGACTGAACAAGTTCTTTGTAGCAACCGTTGTTTTTCTGGAGTTCCAGTGCAATGCCTGTGAGCTCTGAGGTACAGTCCACAGGGAGCTGTATTGCCAACTAACGACAACTTCTCTCTGGTGGCTTGAATCTAGCCCCAGCTCTAAGGAAGAGAGACGGGCAGTCTCCTGTTCAAGTTATAGACTCTGAAATCTGCTGGAAGTGCAGCTTTGAGTTAGCTCTAATTCAACGACATTAAGTTTTAATACCAATACTAACATGCACTTGGGTAAAAATCCAAGCTAGCACAGGAGAGGTTCCACAGTCAAGGAAACAAGAAAAAGGACTATGGCAAACATGAAGACTTCACAAAGAATAACCTGGGAGAATTCATGAGAAATAATGGAATACAAACAATTTTTTTTTTGGAAGAAGTTTTTCAAGAATCTGTAGTACTTAGCCCAAGAGTACCTAAACTCATCTTTCCCCAGGGGAGGGGCCCTGATCTAAAAGGGAAAAGATTCAGAATACACACCATGCTTGAACACGCCAATCAGAAGGGATTTATCCGCCTCCGCATCCCACCAATCCGCTGGGATCTCCACATAGTCGATGTCAGGGAGAGGCACCTCCAGCTCTCTGTGGAAGGAGGGTATGGATTCAGAATTCCTTCAGCTCAGACACAAAGTGGCTCCAGAGCTACTGGCTCAAATTCAATATTAAACCATACCCCTCATTTGATGCTTAGACCCTTAAGTAACAACAAACAGAAGGCTTCAGAAGGATGCAGGCTTATTAATGTTTCTCAACCAGAAATGTGCATTAGAATCATCTAGAGACCTATTTAATATTTAAGCATATGTACTTGATTTCCAGGCCACACCTAAGATGGACTTAGAATATTACAGCATCTCTTGGAGATGCCTGTTAGCAGTTGATCTGGGCAAGGCCTTGGCATCTATATGTAGAAAGTTCTTCTGACAGACAACAAGATATCAATCATCTGTCAGTAGAACTCTTCCCAAGTGATCAAATGCTTAAAATAACACTACCAAAATAATCCACTGAGAACAAGACAATCTTTACTGGAAGTGCATAGGTATGAAGGTTTAGCACAACCTGGTAGTGGTCTAACAGATCAAACGTGAACACAGACTGCACGGCTCTAGGCTACTAAGACAAGCAGAACTTACGAGCAAAATGCAGCTTAGCAGCCCAATCCCATCAGCTCCTCTCTGAGTCTGTTCATTTTCTACTAGCCTACATAGACACTTAATTGTCTAATGACCATGGTTCTTGTTCTTTGAAGGTCTGGGGACTACAGGGAGTACATCCACCTGGATGGCTCTTCCCTACTGCTTCCCAGGTGCCTGGGATGGTTTTTCTGAAACAGTTCAAGTTTCTTCTTCTGTAAGACTTTTTACCATGCCACAGTGCTGAAAGCGCCTTGCCAGACCCAACTCCTTCTGATGAAAGAGTTCCCAGACCTCACCCTTCCAAGAAGTGATCCCTATCTGGCTCCACTGCAGGACCCATTGCTCGGCCTGAATGGTACCTGGGGCTGAATGACTTTTCTGGGATGAGCTGCTGTCATTCCACAATCATGTATCACTGAACCTGAACAGGATCAGTGACAGCCAGGGCTGAACATGGGTAACAAACTTGTCCTATGCTCTACTTAGTTCCCATTCTACATGTCTGAAAAAAGCATGAGGCAAAAGGAAGGGTAAGTTCAGACAGATTACTTCTCTAAGATAACACTTGATTTAAACATCAGGTTCAAGTCTACTACGTTTGTACAATGCAAAAAAGAGTCGTTTTATGAAAATATCTTTCTCCTCTATCTATGCAGGGAAATACAACGATTCTAGAAGCATGTTGACTAGAAGTCAGGATGAGAATGATCACCACTTCACAGCTAGAGCTGTCAAAGGGTTTCAACTCTTTGGTCTCTAAACACTAATGCCATTAGAAAGAGTCACTGGACAGAAAAGAAAGAACAAAGACATAATTTCAAAGCAGAGTCCCAAGATCAACATTTCAGCTGTTGAGGACTTTCTTGTCTCAAGTGTCCGCTGGGAGGGACAGTGCATGAGGCCAAAGAAAACTGCAGACCTAACAGGCAGAGGCGGAGGGACTGGTCATTCCCCCTCCTCTCAAACTGCAGCTTTCTGACAACTTTATCAAATGGTGGCCTTATGACCTCATTTTTTTAACCTTGAGAACACTCTTACAGCACTCTGTATTTCTGGACACCTGAGTTTACAAAATGGATCAAACCAGTCACAAGGTACTATTAATATGACTGGTAAGTAAAAGAAAACCACTCAAATGTATGAGTTTTACAGCCAAGAATAAGATTCTGGGTCTGTATCTGTTGTAAAGCCTGTCAAAGTAATTCACATCCATTCTACAATTACTACGAAGGTAGAGAAAGAATGGCTTTAAAAGTAGTTTTACTTCAATGCAGTAAACGGGATAAATTATGTTTACTGCATTGAAGTCTATGAGGGAGAGAATAGTTTAAAAAGTATTATATTTTAGGTCATTATGTTTATTATAAGAGTACAGAATGAGGTTTGCAGAGTGGATTATATTTGGGGTTGGGGGCGGAGTTGCTTGGGGGGGATTGTGTACCAATGAAGGAGTTTTTCTTTTGCTTTTCAAGGAAAGGAGCAAACGGGGTGGGGGGGGGGTGGGCAGGGAGAAAAGTGCAACAATGAATGAATGGAATTCCAAAATCTCTGTAGATGTTCATTGAAATGAAAAATAAATTATTATTATTATTATTATTATTATTTTTTTAAAAGTAGTTTTACACTACCGGAAACGAAAACTCTAACTAAAAATCCTTACTAAAGTCTGTGTTACTCAGAAACTGTTTTCTCATTTATTGCACCGTCAATGACCTGACTGGATCATATTCCATCATCCAGGTTGAGACTTAAATCACCAGCAAGTTTGGCCAGTTTCATGAACAGGTACTTCAATTCTTTAACACTGAGCACTAAGGCTGACTGGTGTTACCTGGCCAGAGCACCTTCAAATGCTTTGTCAGCGGCTTCTCCCAGTATTTCAGCTTTTAGGTAGTATAACATCCGGACCCGTAAAAGTACCCTAAGAAAGGTAAACAGATAAATGCAAATGAATCAGAACCCATAAATTGCCTGTGAACTACCATTTTAAAAATGACAGAGGGAAATTCTGGGCATTTCAATGTAGTCAGTGGCATAAAGTTACAAATGAAAAAGTACCAGGGGGAAAAAAACATAGACTGTTAACCACTAGTGGCAGAACCACTATGATGAGGCCCGTTTCATATGACAGCATGTGTGTGTCCTCATTCATGTAGTGCTTTTCTGATCCCTCCAAGGCGCTCCCCCCATCACAAGGGCAATGCCTGTCTGTAGGGCCAGTGACCTCTCTTAGGCAGAGCTGTTTCCCATGTCGTGTGTAGGGAAAATCCGCCATCCTCCATGCAGGAAAGATGAGCTATCTCCTCCTGTGGGCCTTACAGCCTCGGAAACCCACTGGAGGGTAAGCTATGGGACTCAAGGCGATATCAGTTCACTAATTTACTGAAGAATGAGTCATGTCAGATAATGTTTTCAATCAGTTTTCACTTGTGCACAGTCTAAGGCACATTTAAAAGTCAGGCATCTATTTTTTTATGTCACAGAATCATCATGTCTTATATCCTGGAGTGCTCAATTCACTGATTCAGCACAGATTACACGTAGGCTCCATGGAAATGTACCAAATGAATTTGAGACAAAGCAGTTAAGTATTTGCTGGGCAACTACCATGAGCCCTGCACCATGCTGGGTCCTGTAAAGTTTCCAATGGAAAGAAACAATTCAGCCCCTGTTCTTAAGAAGACTACTGCAGTCTAGTTGGGAAAACAAGGCCAATGGTCAAACCAAAGAGCAGAGAGGATGATAGTGGGAATCCAGAGAGCAGAGCTCAACATGGGCTAGACCAGAACCAGTACAGAAAAGCTGATCAGTTTCAAGGGGACACTTCATACTCGAGGGTAAGAGGCAGTGAGTGTGAAAGACTACCTGTAATTTACTCAAAACCCATCAAAGATCACAGTTTTTTTATTAAAAGAAGCTCATTTATACATTCTTATATATAAACTGTTCTCTGGAAGTTGCCTCTGGAGAAGAAAAGAGATTAACTTCAGGTAGAAAGAAAACCCATTTTTATGACATTCTGAAGACATTACATTTACTCAAAAGTAGGCAATAATTATTTCTCCACCGGATCGTAATCTCCATTATATCTGGATAGAAAATCTTACTGAGGATTCAACTTCCAGTTGAGAACACATAAAGTCAGAACTTTTATGCTGCAAAGAACCCTTACCTGTCTAGTGCAGCATACCTTACCCCAGCTGTCAAGTCAGCACACAATGACTTCAAGATTTTTGATTTTTTTTTAAAGCTCAGAGAGTAAGAACTCTTTAAGCACATACAACTGTTAAGAGATCTTGACACCTAGCTGGCAGCCTCTTTAACGAGCACTGGAACAATATATGCATTATCTGTCTTAGAGAATGTCAGAGTCTTGACTTTTTAGATCTAGTTTAAGGCTTCCCTGGAGACATATGCTCTCTTTAGAGCACTATTTCTACTTTTCTACAGAGAAGATGTGTTGATGTTTAGTAATATCTGGAGTATGAGAGAACAGAATTTAGAGCCAGTAATACTCTGTTATTCTTAAAAAAAAAAAAAGGCCGCTCAGTTTAGAGGTTAGAGGGACAATTCTTCAGAGAGTTACTTCCCTTGAGTAAGGCGGCAACTGAACTCAAAGGGGAGAAAAGCAGCAGCAGGTTTCTCATACCTTTGCTTTGGTCAAACAAAATAACCCACTAACATTCTGGGTGGCAAAAACGATTTTTTCTGTCGCCTCTTTTAAATTGTATTGCTGTGAAATAAGAGTCCCAGAAAGTGTGTTTGCTATAAATGTACAACTTAGTAGAAGTCTACTTGAACACAACGTGTATCCATAAGCTCCAGGTCAGGAGACAGAGCATCACCGCAGGGGCCCTTCCTGCTTGTCTGTCCCCATCACTGCGCTCCACAAGGACCTCTCCGTCCTCTTAGAGCTTCAGGTAACTCTGGAAGGTAACTGCTTTCTTACTTTTTCAGATTGGCTCTTTAGAAGGCAAATCTTTGCTTCTTAATAATATACTACTACATATGGTACAACAGTTAGGCTCACTCACTAAAAGGTTAGTAGTTCAAGCATACCAGTGGCTCCATGGTGGGACAGGACGGATCTGGTGACCTGCTCCTTTAAAGATTTATAGGTAGAAATCCCAAAAGGGGCAGGCGTACTCTGCTACAGGGCTGCTAAGAGGTGGAACTGACTCGACACACACAACAGCATCAACTACTAACAGTCTCCTGTTTCCTAGGTGCCAGGCCTGGCATGGCTTAGCAAATCCTTATTAACAATGCTCAGAGGGAGGCACTACTTATCTCATTTTAGAGCCGAAGGAAAGAAGGCACATACAGTTTTAAGTAATTCACATTACTTCATCGTGCTGGTAAGTGATAAGGTCAGGATTCAGGGCCTGTTTGTGACATCACAGCCCATCTTAACCCTTGCTGAATAATTGATCTGGCAATAAGTTTGCTAATTAAGAAGCTCAGAATTCCCAGAAATTAGTCTTCTGCCTAATAGAACCCTTCTGGGAGTCTCTTTCTTCCTCCTAACATCCATTTAGCAAACATGTAATGAAACATACATGTAAACTGTCACAGGGCACAGTGCGGTCCTGTTATACTATTGAGATCTTGGCCCATCTCTGCTGCACTTAAGGACAGAGTCAGGACTGCAGATCAAACGATGCGAATTTCAAGAACGTGGACTTCAGGCTCAATATTAAAAAAAGACAATTAATCAGAATTAACAATAACTAAATGAACCGTGCTGAGAAACCATACACTGTCGTCATTAAGAGGCATGAGCAGAGGGAAGATTCCCTGCTGGGGTCCGTGTTTCAGGAACTGGCATGCTGCGTGGGGGAGATGCAAGACGCCTGCCAGCTCTGAGTCTCTCGATTTCACTGAACCAGAACTAAAGTGAATGCTGGTCTTCATTAGACTCAATAAAAGAAAAGAACGATTAGCATCCTTAAAATGCATTATTATTTAGCACTCATTCAGAAGAGATCCTGGGGAGGCGACTAGAACTCTCTAAGGAATTCCCTAAAGGTCAAATCTTGGCTCTGCTTACCTGTGATCTTCTCTGCAGGTGTGAGATGACATTCTCTGGTGACACACTCTGCAACCCTGGCAGTACTGCGAGCTACATGGAACCATAATCTCACAAGACAAACCCAAGTCGCTTGTTCTTCATCACCTAGTAATTTTAACTATTCTGATTATATCATGGCTTTAAGTATAGCAATTCTCTCAGCCTCTAAGGCTACAGCTGTGGGGCTACTAACTTTTTGTAGTCCTTGTCATGCACTGCAGATTCCTCCTCAATCACCTCTGTCATATTTGATTATTTCTCCCCATTTTCACTGTCAACACCCTCCTCTAGGCCATGATTTAAAGCTTATATATTGTTGTTGTTTTTAATGTGCCATTGAGTCACTTGTGAACCACAGCAACCACATGTACAAGAGCCCTAAACCCTCTTTGTCTCCGACACACCTACTCCCATTACTCCAAACACTGAATCGATCCATCGCATCAAGGGTCTTCCTCTCCTGCGCTGTCCCTCCACTCTCTCAAACATGATGTCCCTCTCCGAGGACTGGTCCCTCCTTGTAACTTGCCCAAAGTATATCAGATGAAGCTTCGGAATCATTGACTCCAAGGAGCAGCCCGGCTTCACCCTCTCCAGGACCAACCTGTTTGTTTCCTAGCAGTCCATGGTATATTCAATACTCTTTTCCAGCAACACAGCTCAAAGGCATCAGTTCTCTTTCTATCATTCCTAGTCACTGTCCAGTTCTCTGATGCATAGCACGCTACTGCAAAGACTATAGCTCAGATCAGGCACACCTGAGTCTCCAACCTGAGGTCGTTGCTCTTCAGTACTCTGGAAAGGTTCCTGATAACTGACTTTCCCAATGCAATTTGTCTCTTGTTTCCTGGCTGCTGGTACCAAGAATGTTAACTGTGGAGTCAAGCAAACTAGAACTGTTAACTATGTCAATCTCTTCACCAACCATACTGATGCTGCCAACTGGCCCAGTGTTGAGAATCTGTGTTTTCTTGATGTTGAGCTTCAATCTGTATTGAAGGCTGCAGTCCTTGACCTTCTGTAGCATATATTCAGCTAGCCAGTCTGCTAGGTTCAGCCCTCTTCATTTTGCTGAGTATTACCAGATCTTTTTTTAAACTTGAATTTATATCTTTTTCATTTACTCAAGAAACACTGTTGTTTAGTATCCAGAACGGAATCTTTAGTTATCCTAATGCATAACGTCTTCATGGTTTGCTTCTTTTTTCTGTTTCTCACATGCTGATTCTGATTCAGTCACTGCAAACACGCTATGGGCTCAAGTCAAATAAGGTGCTCTGTGCAGGCTATAATGTCTAGGTCCTTCTTCCCTCTTCTCTCAAGATAAGCCCTCCAAAACTCAATTTAAAAATCTCAGCCTTCAAAGAGCTTGTATTTTTGTGTACCACTGTTTGAATCACTTGCCTTACAAGCTGTTTTTTTTGAGAATGGAGCATAAGATCTAACTTAAAATGGTTGATGAAGTCTCCAGAAAGAATAGACTTCATCTGCATCAAGAGCAAAACAAGCAAACAAAACCAACAACATCAGATTACATTACAGGAAGGAAGGAAAAAGTCAGCAAATACCTTCACAGAACAAAACTTACCTTAACACTCATAAGGCAATCAAGGCATTATGCCCAGAAATATCCAAGCAGAGGCCTCGTCAATACTAGAAATACCGAAAATGTAATTGTTGCATGGCTTAGCAATTGGAACTAGAGGGTTTCCCAGGATCCTTATATTCTAAGGGCCTCTGACACTTGAATTCTAAGGGTGCTGGCCTAGTGGTAAGGAGCTGTGCTGTCTGTCTAAAGGTATGTCATGTGAAACAAGTTGCTCCATGACAGAAAGATCGACAACTGAGCTCTGTGTGATTTACCGCCTCTGAAAACCCACTAGAGGATCAACTATGGGTTGGTTCCCACTCAGTATATTGTTGATGATTGTCAACAACCACAGATACAACGAAGTATGATGCAAATACCCATGTGCAAATCTGCTATATAGCAGATTGCCCTAACACTGCACAGGGTTAAAATCCCTCAGAACAGAGTGGATTTGTTGCTGTCCCTCCTCTTCTTTTACAGCAGACAGCCTAGGCTATCAAAAACACCACGCATATCAAATGAGTGGTTTTGATGAAAGGCAGCAGCAAAATGAAAAGGACGCAACTGCTGTGAATTCTGACTCAGCTTAGACCGCATCTGTCTTTGCAGACCGTGCAGAGTAATTAACGTATAAGGGTCAAGTGGTCTCTCTTGGGCACTTCTGGGAGGGCAGACAGACTGGGAGTGGCCTGCCACCAGAAGAGGGCCAGTGGGAGTGGGGCTCACTCACTTGTTGCAGTGCTGTTTCAGGTGTTTCTTGTAGCCATCATCATGCAAGACGACCTCAGGGTTGCAGGTCGCCAGCCAGTCTGCATTCTTTAATTCTGGAAGCAGCAGCTGATTCTTGGTCTTCTTTCCCTTTCGTCCTCTTGGGACTGGGGCAGACAATCCTAAGAGAAAGGCAGTGTGTAAGTGGCAAGTGGATAAGCCAAAGTGGATTCAACAGGGGTGTGGAAACAAAGCAGGTGGGCTGCAGAGAGGCAGCTGTACACAGGGAGCTCTCAACAAGTCCTTGTCACTGCCTCAGTCCACCAGCTACTGGGTGTGGAGAAGGATGCACCAGGTTCCCAACTTAATGCACCACAGGACTGCTCCATGAACAGGCAGTAAGTTACTGAAGACCCCGAAAGGAACAGGTCTCCGCCTGAGAGGTGGAATCCTGGTGGCATTTGGGCTAGTGAGCAGGGCTGGCACAGGCGCAAGCTTCAAGAGGCCCAGGCACATTTAGCGGATCACAGGAAATACTGGCTGGAGTGCTCCGGCCATCACCAGCTTTCCCAGACAGCTTTCTGCAATGTCTCTGAGAAAGGGAAAATCCTCAAAGCACGGCACCATGGACACACAGGAAGAGGGACTCAAAGGGCCCAGGAACATGCCAGGTGGGCCCTGGCACTTCTCACCTGAGTGGTTCTGAAGGGTCTGGGCCTGCCCATCTTTGGTAGGTGTGATCAACTCCCAAATGAAACTCTTGATCTTCTCGTCTCCTTTGTAATGCTTGACACAGTACACCAGCAGGGCACGGCAAATCATCTCCATGTCTTTCTCGTTCAGATGCCACTTGAAGCGCCCATGAGTCAGGATGTCCTTCCACCGGCCCCAGCTGCAGAGCAGAATCAGAGACGGGCAGTAGACAAAGGAAGGGCCATACATGCACCTTCAAAATAAGAGCAAAGAATGCTTCTTGCTCTGCAGAGACAATGAACCACTCTGAGGGTTCTGTTCTGAAAGGTCTTTGGGGGTTGTGTGTTTGCTGGGCACCAAGTGCCACTAAAGTGACTTGTCAATAAAGTGATACTGAGAGCTTCACACGGCCACTAGAATCTTAAGAAGAGGAAAACTAAAATACTGGGAGCAGGGAATAACTGGAATGAAAATGGAGTCCAGCTGTAGGATTCAAAAGCAATGGTGATGTCACAGAAGCTAAACTTTCTATTTCCATCAGAGCCCAAGTACTACAGGAATCATATTTTAACTGTAACATCTGCTGCACTGACTCCTTGTACTTCCCAGGAGAGTGGGGGTGGGGGAGAAGCAGGAAATTAGTACCAGGGAGCAAATTAGTTACAGAGATTTGCTGTGACAAACATATGAGAAAATCATGGCCTGTTTACATTATGGCATCAGAATGTAGCGTAACTGAGGTGGAATTCTGGGCTTAGAAGGCACAGTCTTCTCCTGCTCCAGTGGATTTCCCCACCCCTAAATCGCAGAAGTGTGGGGAGAAACACACTGGACAAATCCCAAGGACTGAAATACAAAAACTAGAGAAGCCATTACCCACCCGAAGATGAGCAGGTTCTTCTCCACGCGGAAGCATTCAGCTCGGAGGTAGCGCCTGGTTTTGTCATTGAGGCGCCTTGATCGCGTGGGCCTTTCGTCGGAGTCACTGTCTAACTCCGAAAACTCCATCAGCTCATCCTCCTCAAAGGAGTTGTAGTGCTTGGTCTGCTTCCTCACACGAGGGCGGTCAATCACTAAACTTTCCTAGAAACAGAGTGGACTGTTGGAGAGAAAACCCCTCTTGCTTGTACCTCTATCAGAGCATATTTGGTTGCCATTTTTCAGGACAGCTGGGAAAGACCCTCACCCCTGCCTCAGCCTCCAGCAGAAAGGTGCTTCCTCGCACACCTGCTGTGTCCGTGTAAACAGGACAAGCCAGGGATTCTCTGGGACTGGCTGGAACTGGTGTGTTCCCCAGCCCCCAGTGCTGTCTGCCACCATCTGCTGTTCCTATCGTCCCTGTGACAAGGGGATGAGCAGGCAAGATCCCTCAGTGCCCAGAGTGGCAGGCCACGCTTGCCAAGAAGGGCTGCGGTAAGGAGTGCCAGCTGTTGTGCCCAGCATGCCGAGAGCAGTCTGAGCTCAAGACAGAGGACAAGTGAGAGGATTCCATCTGCTCAGCCACTTCCTGCTGACATATATGTATTTCTGAGGCTTCGTTATCTGCCTTTCGCCAGCACAATCCACTAACCTTTTGTCTTTCACTGAACATGCAACTCAGGGACCTCATCCACTGTAGTGACACTCTTCTCTGTTTTTTCCTAGTTCCTCATGTCCAGGCTCTATATTCCTCTTCCCAAAGTGGGACTAAGCTCCTGCACAATCCTGCAAGCTGCTCAGGTAACAAATTTCCAGTGTTAGTCCTACTTCAATCATCTTGCTTTCCACCTTGGAGAGCTGCAACTGTTTGTTACTGCCTCCTGGGCTTTTCCTTCCTCACTTCCACCTGCAGAGTAACCTCTGATTAGGGCACGGGAAGACCAGAACCACTCACTGAAGGGGACTGCAGTGTCTCCTTGAAAGAAAACAGCATCGCTATTTAGGAAAAAAGACCTGGACCAAAGGACCTCTAGCCATCTTGTAGAAGAAGAGGTATGATGAACGCTGGTCACAGACTCATTAGCTGGCCCAAGGAGGAACTACCTCCTCGGTGGTAGGTCCAGGGAGTACTAGACTCGGGCAAAAATGACCAGCAGAATGTGCAATGTGAAATGAGGTGATGGGGTAACAGATGGAAAGAGGGGGCACTAATACTGAATGAGGACCTCACAATGGGCTGGGCACTGTGCCAGCTCTCTTCATAAAAGTTATCGTCTAACTCACAGTGGACACCACTACCTGCTGTTCTTATATAAAGAAAGTGACCTTCACTGAGGCCACGGACTTACCCCAAGGCCTCCAGGTAGTCTTTCACAGAGCTAGTACACAAACTCTGTCTCACACTAAAACCCATTCTCTTTCTCCATCTCAGAAACAGGGAAGCCTAGCCACTCATGGAATAAAGACAAAGCCAGCAGGTGGACTTTTCTCCAGCATGTTCCTTTCCTCCCTAGGGAGCGTTTTAGCAGAGGTAAAATACGGATGGAACGCTGGCTGGGACAGAAGATTGAACATAACCTCTTTAGCTAGCTGCGGTTCTAATTTTCTTTGTCTAATTTCCAGTGTGTCACAGCTAAACTTTATTGTTGTCTATGTGCCAACATATTTGATATGTTATACGCTCAGGTATCCAATTTCCAGTCTTAGCCTTACATTTTATATGTATCAGCCCATTTAAGAACCATTGAACTAAGTATATAGTGACTTGAGCTATGTGTGCATTTAATGGTCATACCAGGACATCAGTGACATGTTCCGTGGAATAAGAGAGTCTTAATGCCGTACCTTTTCATTCTTTGCTTCAGTGTCCAGCTCAGCTATTTTAGCCCATTTCTGCCAAAAGTTAGGGTCATCCAAGGAAATATCTGTTCTATTTCCTGAAGCCACAAAACTAGCCTGTAAAGACAGAAAGTCATTAAAAACTAACAAAACATATGTATTATGTCAAATGGCCCAGAAACTCAAATACAGGTGTGTGCTGTATTGTGTCAATTTGAACAACTGTTGGGTAGCGTGGAAAAGAGGAGAAACTGTCTTGAAAGGGCATGGAGTGGCAGCGAATGCACTGAGTTTCACTGCCTCGGGGGGGGAGTAGCCCCCCAGCTGCTGTGTAGGTCAGTGCCTAGCAGAGAAAGCTGGGCTGTGACTCTTCTGCTCCATTCTTTGTGGCTTCCATGTCCACCAGGCTTGCTGTGTGTTGTAAGAGGCAGCCAGTTGCACATGCACATTTATAAACCTAAAGTTCCTGGAGAGCCAGAGCAGCCTCCAAAGGGGATATTTTGATGTGTGTGTACTGACTATGCACACACACATGCGCTATGGAATATACAGTGTTCACACACAATGCAAATCGCTTAATGTCCTAGTTCACAGACTTCATCTTTGATGTTAAATTACACACACCTGCATATCATCCATCTGCATTCAAATGCAAAACCCTCAGCAGAACCTCCATAATACTGTGAAAGCAGTAGTTTCTTTTCAAAAAGACTGGGTGGGAAAATTATCATTTTAAGCTACAAAATTATTTTTTTTTAACTTAAAACTTAGTAGCAGGAAGGCAACACTGGGAGACAATGGAAGTGGGTTTTTGGTGTCTCGTTCCCCAGTAAAAGATAATTGTTAAGATTTTTCTAGATTGTTCTTACAATTTCATAGTTACCAAGGGACTGCTACAAAAAAAAAGCTGCTGGGGGAGGGTGTGCAAAAACGAGCAATGGATTACTTGTAGTCTCATTATAAACGCATATTAATTGGAGGACAGTCAACAAAAACACAAACACTGTACACAGGACATCAAACATTAAGTTTAGGCTTAAGTCATAGAATCGATATGGGAACAGGTGAAGTCTACCGACAAGAAAGCTGGAGAGAGATCTGGTAAGTGGCCTCATTTATTTCACCACAAACCCTGTGATTTGACCTGCTGAGGAAATGAGAGCCTAAGTAGGAATCTTTAACTCAGAGGGGGAGTACAATCTCTCCTCCCATGAAATGCACAAAATGAACACTATTCCTGGCTTTGAACTCTGATTCTGATCAAAGAGTACTGGACAAGAGAATCCAGATGACCAGGGAAGTCCTTGTGATTAGTGAGCAGCACAAACGGCACACCAACGTGCTGATCCAGCCTGCCAGCGTCCAGCTCTCACAGGTTAGAATGGTGTTTGCTTTCTAGATAGAGCTTCTGATGCAGAATCCCTCCAAAGACCTGCATCTCCAATGTCACAAAGAGGAGATGTTTAGCCAGGGAATTAAAAAGTCCTGGATTTAGAGGGAAAAAAAGCCGAACAAAAGATAAAGAAGAACTTATTTTCTCTTTCCACTAGCTTTCAAGTAAGGGCTCTGGAGAGAAACCCCTGTACCTTAGCAAACGTGGACCCTTTCCCTTCAGTCTGGATGGTGATTGTGTGGGTTCTTCTCTGCAGAATCTGGTCTATGTCTTCTTCACAGAACTTTGAGCCTTCATCCTCCTCATCCATCAAGGCTCCGTAAGCACCCTTCCGGAGCAAGTCCTCCACCTCCATTTTGGAGAGCTGCTGTACCTGGAGAGGTCATCAAAGGCTACTCAAAAAGTGGGGAATGACAGGAGGAAGACTGCCTCAACTGTTACCTTTATGATCTAATATACAGTTCCCTCACTAATTGCACACGTCAGAAGATGTCAGAAGGAAAAAGGACATGGATAATAAGCTTGTGGGTAGGAAAACCCAAGTTATTTAAGAACTACGAAAAGGATAAACAGGCAGTCCACTATAAGGAGTTCTGGAATACAGCCTAGCACATGGCCAATGACCCTAACATTCTACAGGACATTGGTTATTTTCAAATGTCACAAGTCATTAAAACAACATACCACTGAAGAGGATATAGCTAATCTTTTTTTTTTTTTAATGTTTTAGTTTAAGTTTGTATCTTTAAAAATCTCCAGATGTCCTAAACAAACTGAAGAATAATGATTTATTATTAAATAAGTACATTAGTATTGGAAATGATGTCATTTCTTTGGAGAAAAAAAAATTTTAAAAATCCTGTGCCAAGTGTGATCTCCTCAACTGCTTGCTGAAAACAGGAAATGGGACTCAAAACACCCTTTCCTGGTTCTAATTAAGAATCTGGTTCCCTTTAGAGCAATCACAAGAGGGAATACCATGACGTCCAGCACTGGCAACGTGGAGATCTATGCTCAGCAACATACACACAAACAGGATACAGAACATCTGGACTAAAGGCCGTTCGTATAGAGCTTTTAATTCCCTATCTTTGATGCTCTGATCTGAGAGATTAAGGCGAGATAGTCTGTTTTGCTTGCCTACATTTTAAGACAAAAATCCTAGCCGCAAACTGTATCCTCTTTCCTCAGAAGGAAAATATTTATTAGGTGGCATATTTCAAGTTGCTAATTTATTCATTCATTTATTCACTGAAAACCTTTCATATGCCAAATGCTGTGAGGGGCCACAGGAAATAGAGATAAAAAAGATCCCTTTGTACCCTCGAGGAGTTCAGCATCTGTGGTATGCGACAATGCAGGGTAACAGATTCATATGTACACAATGTTATGTGTGCCCTTCTGAAGGGCAGCATGAAAACTCTGTTTAGAGGAAGTTACCTGCAGTTGCTTGCAGCTGGAAGTCTTACCACATGTCTGCTTCTACAGATAACTCCTACCCGTTTATAAATGCACACTCCTGATTCAATACTGGGCAGGGGAACCATGAACACAGCTGCAGGAAGAAAAAGGCCAGAGAGGTCCAGACTGTGGGACAAATGCTCCCCAAGACTCCAGAACAGGTACCATCGTACTCACTCCGTTGGTACTGCCCTTTCGGTTGATGTCCTGAAGGACAGCCTTGTCCAGACCCAGCTTGAGGCTGGCTTTGTCAAACATTTCTCGTTCATAAGAGTTCCGAGTAATTAGGCGGTACACTTTCACAGCTTTGCTCTGTCCTATCCGGTGACATCGGGCCTGAGCCTGGGAAGGAAGGAGGGTCACAAGCACAGGTCACAACAACCTATGACAGCAGCAGTCCTGGGACTAGAAACACACTCAAATACCACGTAGTGAGTGGTGAGTGACCAGCTCCTACAGTGAGAAGGTCACGAGACTAATTTCAGAACAAAATACATTAAAAATGTCAGCTGCACCTTCAGGGCCACTTTTATTTTTGAAGCCATTCTTTCCAGAGTGCAAGGATAAAGAAAGCAAAGAAAAGACATGGTTTCCTCCTCACCCTGTGCTCTGAGCACAGAGACCTTGGAGGTGGCATTTCTTAAATTCTGCCCTTCTTACTTGTGCAATGCCTCAGGGCTGGCAGTGGGCTTTTACATCTCTCAAATCTTACTGCCAAAAATTTCACAAACAGACAAAGTAGAGAAAAACATAATAATCTCTTATTATCTCTACTAAACCCCAGGCACTATGTATTTCACTTCAGTTCAGATATTTAAATAGAATTACTCCTGTAAACACACATACATTACCACTGTGATGCTTAAAAATACTTAGCATAAACAATTCACTATGTATTCAAATTTCCCTATGTATTATATTTTTGAATACCATGTTTTTCACTTATTTGTGGAATTTTTGAAAAAAGTTTATTGGTTTGCACCCAATCATTCATATACTCTATTTCATTCAAGTATGCTGGGTTTTATACAATCATTCCTCTATCTTGTATTTTATATAATTACTATTGACCTATGCCACTCCATCTTTTCGAGTTCCTATTAAGTCTTTCCTATTCCTTCACACCTCCATTTGGTGACTGACTTTTGCTATCCTAGTAATTTTCCCCTCTTCCCCTTTTGAACATTTCAACATATCTTGCTCAGGTGTTTTTTTTTTCTATTTTCACAACAGTGATTTTATGCAGTATCTGTCCTTACGTTTGAGTTCTTTCACTGAGTGTAATGCTCTCTAGACGCTCCTATGTTACAGCATGCTTCATGAAATCATCATTCCTTACAACCGTACAGCATTCTATTGTCCGAATGCACCACAATTTATCAATGTGTATGCTGATGGGCATTTGAGATGTTCCCATTTTCTTGCTAATGTAACACTCAATGAACATAGGTGTGCATTCCTCTATTTGTACCTGAATTCTGATTTCCTTAAAAATTGACTCAAGATCCAAATAAGATACATTTCTATTTAATCCACAGATAACTTCCTGCCTTCAACTTATATAAGAAAAAAAAAACATCATGTAATTTATGCAATCAAGAAACCAAGTACTAGCTCTCAAGTTCCCCACAGTCTACAAAGTTCCACTGTGTTAACGAACAGGTTTCTGTTTCCAGTAAACTGGGAGCTGTAACCAGAATCTTAATTCAGGTTCAAATTTGGCAATGAAAATTCAAACAAGGGTCTCATAACTAAGGTTTACAGAACACTACAGAAGCTATATAGACAGATATAAAAAATATATAACCAATAACAAAATGGGCAAAACACATGAAAAGATTCTTCACAAATTTTGGCAAGGGTAACTCCTAAGTGGTGTTTCTATTTCCATCAAAGGTATTACTATTCTGTTGTCTTTTTCTTCTGAATTGATGCTCACTGCCCAGTACCATTATTTCCTTCTCTCTCTCACTGCTGTGGAGGGAGCCCTGGGGTAGAGTCAGCTCCAGCTTACAGCTGACCTGCTCTGGGATTCCAAGGCTGGAAGGTGGATGAGAGGAGCTTGCCTGTCTTTCTCCCACTGAGTTGCTGGTAGGTTTGGACTGCCAGTGGCCTTGGAGTTAGTAGTCACTGTGCATCCCTCAAGAGTTTGGAGAGGTCCCTGACTGCAGATTTTCCCAGTGCAATACATCCTGATCTCTGACTTTCACTAAGAGAGTGTTACTCACTGCCATCAAATTGCAACCAACTCATAGCTGATCCTCCAGGGGGTTTTGGGAGGCTGTAAACGGCACAGGAGGAGAATGTCTGTCCTTCTCTCATGGAGCAGCTGGTGAATTTGAACTGCTTGTCTTTGGGTTGGCCACAACACAACTTCCTAACCTACTGACCAATGCTCTAATGGGTGTAGAAATAATGGTATTCAAATAGCAATGAGAAGGGGAGCTCTGGTGGCCTAGTGGTAAGGAGCTGCAACTACAATCCCAGAGGCACACGGTTCAAATCCACCAGATGCTCTGCCGGGAAAAGGAGGGACAATCTCCTCCTGTACCAGTCAGATCTGATTTGACGGTACACACAAACAAACACACACACACACAAAAAAGCAATGAGACTATCAAGCTTCTAGACTTGGGTTTCTAATTACTACTTGCCACAAAATGGAACCAAAGATTGTTAGAGAAATGGCTAATTCCAGTGCTGGAATACAGAAAAATACAGGATGAACTTGAAACAACAGGTTACTGCACCAGAATGTTAAAAAGTATTCAATGAATGATAGAGACCTACCAGAAGGACATTTGAAGCGTGAGTTCTCATTGGTTAAATACAGGACTATTTGAGTATCAACATGAATGATGATAGCAAGAGACAGTCTACAGATTGAAAAATGGTCTGCATTTTACAGATAATATTAGAGATACGGATAACTCTGAGGAAGGGAAAATGCTTTCTTATATTAGAGTGCCAACTACAAATGAAGAAGTAGAGTTAAAAGCCAGTATTTTGCAACCATTACATAATAACAGATTTATTAACAAACTAATTTACAAAGACTTAACACTAGTAGATGTCTTAAAAAACATCAAAGTAAAAAATGAAGGGGGGGGAGCAGCAGCACAAGGAAGTGATTCAGAGTACAGACACTAAAGAACTATAAAGCAAGTCCATTCTGTGATGGTCTCTAAATTCAGGTGGGATATAGTCAAGGTTGTACTTATATTGTTTGGCGCTAGTTTTATTTATGTTGCTTGGACTAGTTTTAATTTTCTTCTGCTTAAACTTGAACTTGCATTTGAACTGCTGTCTTGTTCCACAGCTGGCCACTCGCCTTATTCTGATGATACTGAGCTTCTCCACCATCTCTTCCTGCGGATGTAGTTGATTTCACTCCTGTGTACTCCTTTTGGCGAAGTCTACAACCATCTATTTTAAAAGGTATCTGCAAGTAAGTTGTTGACTGAGTACAATTCTATCATGCAACCTCTGGCCTCATTTCCAACCACTTATGTAGTTGAATGATGCACATCTGTGTGTGCCTATTGGTGTGTGCCCTAAGAAAGGCTAGAGGGCACAGATGATAATAAATGGGGGAAATGTGAATAGCTAGTGAATCTGAAGGAAGGTGAATAAGAGTTGCAAACTTTCTGCAAGCCTAAACTTACACTAAAATGAAAACATACAAAAACATGAAGTATACAGTCATTTGAGATAATGCCTCTCTTGAGGTTATGCTGTCCATCTGGCATGAAGCTAGATCATCTCATTTTGCTTTTGAATTTTAGGTAGGCTTTTCCCCATTACCTTAACCATATTTAAGGGGATGTGAAAAAATAATTGAACTACCTCAGGAAAATTAGTATTTTGATTATGTATTTTAAAGCTAAAGAGGGAAAAAAAGAATATTGGTAAAGTCAGCTGTGAGGGACTCAAGAGTACGGAAGTGCAATTACGTCAGGCTGGAGACTAAGGTGCGCCTGATCCAGGCTATAGTTTTTGCAATTACGTGCTATGCATTGGAGAGCTGGACAGTGACTAGGGATGATAGAAAGAGAATTGATGCCTTTGAGTTGCGGTGCTGGAGAAAAGTATTGAATATACCATGGACTGCTAGGAGAACAAACAGGTTTGTCCTGGAGAGGGTGAAGCCAGAATGTTCCCTGGAGTCAAGGATTCTGAAGCTTCATCTGACATACTTTGGGCATGTTGCAAGGAGGAACTGGTCCTTAGAAAGGGACATCTTGTTTGGGAGAGTGGAAGGACGGCGCAGGAGAGGAAGACCCTCGATGAGATGGATCGATTCTGTGAGTGGAGTGGTGGGAATGAATGTGTTTGAGACAGCGAGGCTGGCACAGGATAGAACAAGCGTTTAGGGCTCTTGAACACAGGGTCGCTATGAGTTGCAAACGACTCGATGACACATAACAACAACAGACCAATATTATATAAATATATTTTTCACAGGAAAAATGGCTAAGAAATTCTGAAACTATTTTGTATATACACTAGAAGAACAAGTGAGTTAATATTTTGTAGCTAATGAAATCAAGGCTTATCACTGTCAGAGAAAGCTAAAACAAGGAAAAGAGGAAGGCTGGAAAGAACTCTGTGGTGTTAGAAATGGAACAGGAAATATCAATGTGGACAGAATGATATGGAATAAACACAGCTGGCACTGCAAGGCATGAGAGTGTGTGTGTGAGCAAACATTATTTTCTAGTTCTGTTGGTTCAGAGTCTCTAGTAGCAATATAGTTAGATCTTGGTTCTTGATGCCATTTTCAAATAAAAGGAACCAAATGTCCTTGGAGAAATAGTCAATCACATGATTGTAGCAAGAAAAAATTGCAACAGAACCAAAAATGGTGCCAAAAAGTAAAAAAAGTCTTCAAAAATGGATGGTGATATCTCAAAGGAACCAAAGGAATTTTCACAGCAGCAAATCTCGAACAATTGTAGCAAGAGAATAAATAAGAAAAATGGGTTAGAAATCTAGAAAATAAAATAAATGCCCAAGATTCCATCATGGTAATTGGCAGACACATAAATAAATAAACAAACTGGAGAGGAAAGCTAACTCTTTCTTACAGTCGAATTCCAGTTAGTAAATGTAGATGGAATGATGAAAAAACTACTATTAGTCAAATATCACAGCAACTGTCACCAAAGGCAAAAAATGTCACTGAATACTAAGATTAGTGGGTAAACGTCTGCTGAGGAATAGATAATTTTCCAGCATCTCAAAGAATCTCTTTATAAGAAACTTTTTAAAGGAAAAAAGTTATAAAAAATGAGTTTTTACAGTGATAGCTAAATGGTTCTAAAGTCAAACATACAAAAAAG